CAAAACTATGTGTCTATTCCATAAGTAATAAGATATGGAATAGACACATAGTTTTGTTTTGTAATAAGGTATGGAATAGATTTTATGGAATAGACACATAGTTTTGCCTTATTACAAAACAAAATTATGTGTCTATTCCATACCCTATTCCAAAACAAAACTTTATGTCCATTCCATACCCTATTACAGAACAAAACTTTGCGTGAGTTGCTTGAAAATGTCGCTAATAGTCAAGATGAAGGAATAAAACCGTTAATGGAGCCTCATCAGCAAGTTTGTAATTATAGTAAAGTTTTTACTGCTTAGCTTCAGTAAATTTGCAAGTGGTGGACCATCAACATCATATATATACAACTTGATATTAAGTGTACCTTGATACTGTTCTGGAAGTGCGTATGTTAAAGGTGTAATAGTTAATTGTTATTTTCTTATTTTGGAAAGACTCTGAGCTGGGAATCATTAGTGGTAACTCAAACTAAATTATCTATTCCAGAAAGTAATAACGTATAATGACGTAAACCAATTACATGGCTCTCGGTACATTCCAAGAGTATACATTATGTAGTCTTCGTGTGATGACGAGGTACTCGTTTCTCATTAGCTCATCTACTTGCTTCGCCGAACTAGTGATGACTATGCAAACGGATAAGCTATGTCTATGTTTTATTGTTTCAACGTCCATGTAAACATGGTCCTCAATCTATCAGCTTTATAAAATGTTTTAATGACATGGCTTGGTTTAAGTGAACAACCTGTCAACTATTACTTGTACAGGTTCTTACGTACTCGTTCCTTACATATCTACTATTGAATCGGCCCTGCATCGCAATCTGAGGGTCGCGGGTTCGAATCCCCGTCACACCAAACATGCTCGCCCTTTCAGCCGTGGGGACGTTATAATATGACGGTCTATCCCACTATTCGTTGGTAAAAGAGTAGCCCAAGAGTTGGCGGTGGGTGGTGATGACTAGCTGCGAGACTTCCCTCTAGTCTTACACTGCTAAATTAGGGACGGCTAGTGCAGATAACCCTCGTGTAGCTTTGCGCGAAATTCAAAACAAACAATCTAATACTGAATGTACGCCAATTCGGTGTTACGATAACATATTGATAGAACTAAACACGTGTTTACAGAGTCTGGAATGTTCACTATTATATATACGTGAATCAACATCCTATTGGCAAACATCGTGTACTAGCTCTATAGTAACATATAAAGTCTTTCTCACGATGTTGTTTTACTGAACATATATAATATTTCCGCCATCTTTCTTTTACGAACATACGTAATCGACGTTCATATGATTCTCTCATCTTTTATTTTCGAATGTACGCATTATTGTTTAAAATATTCATGCATTCCTCCACCGTTCTTTTTTCCAGAACAGGAATACATATATTATTATTTAAAGTGTTCTTGTAGTTTCGCCAACATTGTTTTTCGAATATTTGTACAATTGTTTAAAATGTTTATGTAACAAAGTCGTTTTTTTCGAATGTGTGAATTATTGTAAAGTTCGTGTGACTCCGTCACCTTTCTTTTTGGAATATTTTATTGTTTAATATTTTTATGTGACTCCACCACCTTTCTTTTTGGAATATTTTATTGTTTAATATTTTTATATGACTCCGCCACCTTTCTTTTTGGTATTATTGTTTAAATTTTTAATATGACTCCGCCACCTTTCTTTTTGGAATGTATTATTGTTTAATATTTTTATATGACTCCGCCACCTTTCTTTTTGAAATGTATTATTGTTTACATTTTTTATATGACTCCGCCACCTTTCTTTTTGGAATGTATTATTGTTTAATATTTTTATATGACTCCGCCACCTTTCTTTTTGGAATGTATTATTGTTTAATATTTTTATATGACTCCGCCACCTTTCTTTTTGGTATGTAATATTGTTTAAATTTTTAATATGACACCGCCACCTTTCTTTTTGAAATGTATTATTGTTTAAATTTTTACATGACTCCGTCACCTTTCTTTTTGAAATGTATTATTGTTTAAATTTTTTATATGACTCCGCCACCTTTCTTTTTGGAATGTATGTATTATTGTTGAACATGTTCATATATTTCAGATCTTGTCTGGCCTCTCGGAGCATTAACGGAAGGTATGTATTTATTATGTTTGTTGTTTTTTTGCTCTTGACTCAAGAGCTTTTGATCTGGGGGGGGGGGATACAATATCATGCGTGTATTTATATTTATTTAAAGTATTTAGAATTTAATTATGTCGTAATCTCAACTCTTGTGTGAAACATAAAACAGTAAGTGATAAAGAAAAGGGATAATTTCTAGTTCAAGGTTTTCTTACTATCCGTAAATCTCAACTGGACAGTCTGTAGACCAAATAATTTATAACTGATCCAATATCACTTTAATATAGAGTGTTAACAAACTATTTTGATTTTCTAAAAAAAAAAGGGGGGGATTTGTTTTAGTTAAATATCAATTTCGTTGAAAAGCACCTAGTAAATGTGTCTATTCCACAACCGGCAAAATAACGAAATAACTTGCAATGTCAATCTCTCCCCCCCCCCCCCCATATCCCTACTAAATCTTTAACTGAACTTAATACTTTACACAAATATGAAATATTTATATGGTGTTGTATTTGTATAATAAAGTATGAGAAAATTGTCATATTAATCAATATAATTATCTCTATTTGTATATTCAACTTCAATCAATCCTCTATTCTAAACGCACCTTTTTCCCTTCCAATACGTTAAAGTGTATACGTTTTACTAAACACGTGGCTCTAACCGTTTATACTTTAGCCCTCAACAACGTCAATTGGTGACATAGTATACAGATTGGCTGTGAAAATTTGGTGTCTCCGTGTGTATCTGTTGAATCACGAGCTGCTTTTAGCTGTTAATAAATAAAGCATGTAATAAAATATAGGGGGCAAAATAAGTAACAATCGGTATTGACCGCACGATACATAGGAGTAGTTTACACGGGGGGTGGGGGTAGGGGAGAATCTTCCCCTCAATCTTTCATTAATGGATAATTATTCCTCCCGATATTTCACTGGAAATGGTATATTATTATTACATACCCGTTGTGTTAGAAAACAGCGGAAACGAACGCCAAATACGTATTTAGACGAATCCTGAGGCATGTTCTTGAGTTTTAGATATTAAATGTTTTTGTAAATGGTTCTGTCAGTTTCGTTCAATTTTCAGAATGGAACTGTACTTTTTGGGCTGATTTATTCTTGCAAGCTTGTTTGTTTGTTTGGTTTGGATTTCGCGCAAAGCTACACGAGGGCTATCTGCGCTAGCCGTCCCTAATTTAGCAGTGTAAGACTAGAGGGAAGGCAGCTAGTCATCACCCCCACCCCAACTCATGGGCTGCTCTTTTACCAACGAATAGTGGGATTGGCCGTCACATTATAACGCCCCCACGGCTGAAAGGGCGAGCATGTTTGGTGTAACTCGTGACCCACAGATTGCGAGTCGAGCGCCCTAACCACCTGGCCATCTTGCAAGCTAAACATTATATATATGTATATAACTTGTATATTATAACCTAATTGTATTTGAAGTCTATTTACAAGATACGCAAATTAGGCCTTGAAATTTTCAAAGCATTGATCAATGCCAAGTTAACGATATGGTTCAGTTTGTGGCTAAGTAATGGCGAGATATAGAAACTCTTAATGAAAAGACTTATATTTTGTATTTTTAAACTAATTAAGTAGAAGCATATAAAAGTATACCCAACGTTTCGAGAAACAATGGTTCTCTTTCTTCAGTTGTACAACAATGCTGACGTTATTAGTGTAGTCTGGAATCGCGGCGCGAGTTTCGTAAGACATACATCACGCGCCCGTCTCGCGCCGTGTATGTATATCTTGGATCGGTAATATGTGCGGCTCACAGAAATGGATAGAATTGTAATCGAGAATGCTTTATTTATTCGACAAACCGTTGGCGAATTGGAAATTTACAAAACGATTTATATGTGTGCAGTATCACACGCGCAGTAATTTTACGTGTTCTAAAATAGCAAAATATGTTAATACTTTTACAGAATTCCCAGGCAGTGAAGCCTAGTAACGGGTATTATCATGAAAAGCAGATGCTATCGAGTTGTAAATCACGTTTCGTGGTTGTTTGTCTTCAACGTTAGACATGTAAAAAACATCTGTTTTTAATAGCTTTGTTTATAAATGTGTGTGTGTGTGTGTTTTGTTTTTATTTTAACTTTGCAATTCAAGTTGTAACGATGTTTTGGTCAAACAAATAGTTGCTATTATGGGATGCGTTTACTAACAAAGATTGTTATCACATTTGGTGTGACAAAAGTAGTAACTTTTATGAATACTTTCGTCACCTTTGGTTCTTTTCTTTTCCAGTAGGATTTCCGGCTTACGGCTATGGACGTGGAGGTTACGCCGGCTATCCAGGGTTCGGCTATCCGTTCGCAGGTATGAACTTAAATATGCAACAGATCTGTATTCCGTGCCCTTTGGATCACGTGAGTGTCTACAATTTACACGCGATGCAGCTATGACGGCCAACAGCCCAGCCTCGTCCTCTCCGTCGTTCTCGCTCCCCAGGTTGCTCTGACTGTACCCTAGCTTGCGCTGTCTCGGCAGTGTTCGGACTGGTGACGTAAGCGTCTTCGGGTAACATTCGGTTCTGGTCGGCATCAGTTCGGTTTTATTTTATAATCAGATGATCGCCGAAATGGGGAGTGCATTAAGTCCACCTCAGTGATATTTTGTTGTAAAAGAAAATCGGGAAAAGCCCATGTTTTTTACAATTGCAATCACGTATTTTTATTTTTTTGTGTTATTCCCATGACATTTGTGCCAAAGTTTCCGCTAAACCCAACCTCGGAGGCTCTTATATCTTTATCTCTCAGGTGAAAGAAACACAAAGAAACTATGTTTACACCCTAACGGTTGTTGTTTTGTCAAATGTTCACGCTGTACAAGAATTCCATAAATGAACAAGTTATATTTTACAAATACAAGCTCAAGGTGTGATCAGTAGATCCACAAATCTTTAAGTTAGGCTTACTTAGCAGAGGGAATGGTGGGAATTAAATTTTGCACTCGGAGACTATTGATATATATATAGATCTAATAGGCCGATTGTATTCAGTTTTTAGGGCTCGGAGAGGTCACTGCGGCAGATTGTAGACTAGATTGTTAGAAGAAAGAAAAAGTTTTTATTAGTCTGTTAGAATACCTGTCTCTGTCTTACGTCCTCGGAATAGGACCGAAACTGTTTAGGTGTGTAATCCAGTGTTTCCTATAGTTTAGGGACATTTATACGGCTTAGGCCTACCTGTCTTGACAAGGTTTTACACTGAAGATGTTGTAGTCTATAGGTTAGATAGAATACTGAGTGGTTACGAGATTCTATTTTAGCTTATGGTCTATCAATAATTTTTTTTTAAATTAGGTTAGTTCACTTCGTACTCTTCTGTTCGTAATAACATAAACAAACATATCTATTATACGGCTTAGGCCTACCTGTCTTGACAAGGTTTTACACGGAATATCTAGTAGTCTATAGGTTAGATAGAATACTGCGTGGTTACGAGATTCTAATTTAGCATATGGTCTATCAAACAATTTTTTAAATTAGATTAGTTCACTTCGTACTCTTCTGTTCGTAATAACATAAACAAACATATCTAGTGAAGGAAAAACTAAGCATAGCACTTGGTTAGCTTGGGTATTTCCAGACTTCTCACCAAGGGAGAACCTCGCGTCTGGTGAATAAACCAGTTAATCTATGAGGATGGCTTTTATCGCAGAAGGAAATGTGAAATTATGAATTTTTTTTTATATTGTGAATTTGGATTTTAATGACATGGATTTTGATGGAATTGTTTTAATTGTATAAATAAATTATTTCAAACGTTACACTGAACGTTTTTCTCATCCATTCTACATTACGATAAGTTAATAGAAATTTCACTCAATATACCATACCAGCACAGTGAAAAACAAGCCAATCACCACACAATATATCATACCAGCACGGTGAACAACAAGCCAATCACTACACAGTTCCTTGAACATCGCTTTGTGAGTGCCACAAAAATTACTTTTTAAATATTAGTAAACAGTTTGATCTAAAACTATTCGCATTCTTACTGCATAGTCTAATCTAAAACTGTTAGTGTCTTAAAGTGTTTTGAATTTAAGTTATGCCTATAAAATTAATGTTATTTGAATTTTTCTTTTGCTAACTATAAAATGCTAACTCTAGAAATAGCACGTGTTTCCTAGCCAGATTATTTTTTATGGTGTTATCTGTACGTGTATTTCGCTAGAATCAGGCGTTTGATCCTGCACAGTGTAGCTAACATTGTCTTTTCTGTACCTAACGAAATTTATCTGTTCTATATTAAATATGAGTAGGGTTTATAATGGTTATGTCTAACCATGAGAAGTGTTAACAATCTTATGCCAAGTTTGAGAAATATGTGCAACATTAGTACCTAAGTCTAATCATAGTATCTTTAACCCTGACAAGTGTTAACAATTTTATACTAAGTTTGAGAAGGTGTGTGACAGTATTATCGGAGTCGTCAGTCTAATCATAGTATCTCTACCCCTGACAAGTGTTAACAATTTAATACTAAGTTTGAGAAGGTGTGTGACAGTATTATCGGAGTCGTCAGTTAAACCATAGTATCTCTAACCATGACAAGTGTTAGCAATTTTATACTAAGTTTGAGAAAGTGTGTGACAGTATTATCGGAGTCGTCAGTCTAACCATAGTATCTCTAACCCTGACAAGTGTTAAACATTTTATACTAAGTTTGAAAAGGTGTGTGACAGTATTATCGGAGTCGTCAGTCTAACCATAGTATTTCTAACCCTAACGAGTGTTAACGATTTTATACTAAGTTTGAATGGGTGTACAACAGTATTATCGGAGTCGTCAGTTTAACCATAGTATCTCAAACACTGACAAGTGTTAACAGTTTTCTACTGAGTTTGAATAGGTGTGCAACATTAGTACTTAAGTCTAACCAATAGTATCTCTAACCTTAAGGAAGGTTAACTATTTTCTATTAAGTATCAGTAGAATATGTAACAGTTCTACCAATGTCATTTGTCTAACCTAGATGCTTCTAACCCTAAATAAGGTTATCTGTTCTATATTAAGTTTAAGCAGTGTGTGTGTGTGTGTGTCGCAGTTGTATTAGAGTCGTTAGTCTAACCTTGGTTCTTGTCGTTCTTGTTTTGTTTGTTTTTTTAAGCGCAAAGCTACACAATAGGCTATCTGCGCTCTGTCCGCCACAGGTAATTGAACCTCGAACTTTATCGTTGTAACCCCATAAACTTACCGCTGACCCATCAGGGAACCTAACCTTCGTAATCTCTAATTGTCAGGAAGTTCATATATTTTATAAGTAGGAGTAGAAAAGGTAAAAATTGTCACATAGTCGTTATTCTAACCTTGGTTCTTCCTGCCTTCAAAAAGAACGATGTGTCAGTTTTAATTCTAACTAATCTTTCCGACTCGAAGCATGATAGCACCCTTTGTTTTTTCCTACAGTTTCTAACGTGGTATTTAACTAACTGAAAAGTTTTCTTTACAGACACGGAGTGTCCTGTTTAAAGGTATTAACAGATGTTGTTATAGTCGTAACGCACAACTGTAGTGAATACAGCTACTCTGTTTTCTAACCTAAGTCGCTTTTATCGTTTCATACATTTATGTTTCAATATTTTGTTTGATTTATTGTTTGGTTGTTGTTCTTATTCTAGGCTACTTTCAGTACAATTTATAAGTATAATAACCTGATGAATATAGAAGTATAGGGATTAACGTTCTTGAAAATTAGTCTGTTTTACCCTGTGGCATAACTACAAAATACGCCCTCCATCCGCATAAAAAGTAATTGGGCCCTATACATTTATTTCCTTATCACAATAAATACGATTCTGGCTAATTCGGACACCCTTTTGGCTCTCTTCTCCCGCAATTATGGGGGCATGCTCAGGCCACTGACCTTACCTCAACTCTATTACCCTGTTTGTAGTATAATTATCAAAAATACGGCATGTTAAATGACATTAATATTGAACGACATGAACTTAACTGAATATGTGATTTTAAGCCTTTCGTATTATCATGAAGACGAAATTAATATCAGGACCCACAGTAAGAAGAGAGAGACTGTGATATAATATTACCATATAAATGCAATATTTTTAAGAGTAGAGAAAGCGTAATATAACATCACCAGCTACGATATCATTTTTGCTGGACATTAGGTTTGAATGTTTTGTTGCCTTTACCACGTTATAACGGTTTTTACACTTACCATGTAAATTTGTTTACTTTACTCGTTATAAGCATATATTTCTTAGTTATTGTATTTTTTCAGACCTACTGCAAAGTATCTGTGATTTCCCACCCTCAGTGACTCACCGGTAAGTCTGAAGGATTATAACGCTAAAAACAGGGTTTCGATACTCGTGGTGAGCACAGCACAGATAGCCCAATGTGTAGCTTTGCGCTTAACAACAAACAAACGGTGATTTCTAGTAATTATTTAGATTCTAAAGTCATGTTTTATTACTTAAGCCTACTTCTGTAGATATTTTCTTGTCCACCGAGAAACAAAAAAACACTATATTTAACTATTTAGATGAGGACATTCAAATAAAATGTTATATATTAAGCAGGTTTAAGCAGAGAGAGGAAACAAGTTGTATGTAAAGACCCAATGTTTGTTAAAACAATTTAAAATCACTAAAAAGACCAAATCCAAACGCAAGACGTGATAAAGCACCGCCTGTACAAAAACAATAGTTATCAACAGTTTAATTATGTATTAACTAATGTTTAATTTCACGCTGTTTGGAATACAGGTTATTTTCAAACTCAAATAACCAGAGATCTAAAAATACTATAAACTCTCAACTACGATATATTCTAAGCTGTAAGTTGATTTACTGGATTCTCTGGAAATAGACAATTTCTTATTTTCTTTTTACACGCTCCTAAACAGTTCTTATTACTCAGCGAATGAATCCTAAAAAAACGTATTTCTGATACAACTTGTACAGTTAGTTGTCTACCCGTTACTGAAATGGACTACTCTGAAACCACATGCGCTATTTGTGATCTACGAAACTTTTGTTTGTAATAAGAAAAGTTGCTTTTTGATCGTAAATAAACACCCAGGTTTGAAATAGAATTTCTTACTGCGGGAAATCAACCCCCGAATTTGAACACGTGCTGATTTGATAACTGATTCTGCTCGACGTTAAGAATTTGAAGTATACTCACCAAAAGGTTGAAAGACTGTAAACATATCATTAATTGCATAACTTTACAGAATTTGTGTGACGAGACTCGTTTACAGTAAAAAGCTTTTTTTTTTCTTTTGTTGCATGAGTTTAATAGAATTCGCACACAGTTACAAAGTGTAAATGAAACGGTATCA